CGTAACCCATAGGTGCGATGATGTGCTCAGGCTGGAGACTTTAAGGCCACCACCATCTATGGTGCCGTACATTCGCGATTTCACCGCATCATAAAAGTCATCAGGTTTTGATATTACCTGCCTGCCAAAAGTCACACCACCCAAGAACTTGCCCTCGAATCGCTTATATGCTTCCGATTGTTGTATGGTCTGCAACAGTGTACAATCCTTCGAGCGTATCGATTGCAGTCGACAGGATCGTCTAACCGCTATGAGCGGATATAGTGGTTCCACCCCGAGTCCTCCATCGCATACCCGTGTGTGAAGATAACTATTACATGCATCATGTGGCAGTCCCAGCCATTGACGCACGCGCTTTCGAATTAATATATCGACTCTTTCCAGTTCAATTTTGCCCACGGCGCCTGCTTGGCCCATGTATTGCAGTCGAGGGATCACATGTCCTTTCAATATGTCTAACCGTTGAACCACTGTCAATGGGGCCTCAGTGAGCTCCCATAATAATTTGTCTGCCGTGGCCTTTATCGGCTGCGGCATTATTCCACGATAGTTAAAGCAAATACCGAGATACTTAAAGCAGGTATTGACGTTTACGAGACCTAAGGAAACCCGCCGATTTTGTATACATGTGGGACAACACATATGGTTTTACATTTACCATTAGCAACCATTGTTAGGCTGCTTGATTTACGCACATTGATATTCAATCCAGCTTGTTGCAATTTTACGCACAATTGGTCGAGTTTGTGTTGCATCCCCGCAGTGGTCTCTGCGAAGATCATCATGTCATCAGCGAACAAGATTGAGTCGACCTTCCGGCCACCCATCTTTGCCCCGTGCTCACGTGATGAATGCTGCACTACTTCGTCCATACACATGATGAACAGAAGCGGTGAGAGTGGGTCACCCTGCCTCACTCCCTTACCAACTTTGGTGATTTTTCCGTGTATTAATGCTTGAGATGAGTTGTAGCAATTTGCGATATACGACAGCAGAGGCTCTGGTGCCCCGTATGATTTGGCTGCTCGTTTTATAGTGTCATGCGACACAGAATCGAACGCTTTCGCAATGTCAATTGAGCACATTACCATATTGCGCTTGGTTATTTGTGCTTCCTGTAGAACAGCGTGTACGCAGACAACACCTTCCATACATCCATCTCGTTTCATGAATGCTAATTGTGAATGGAGATGTGGAACAACCGCACTCCAACGTTTTGCCAGTATGCTATGCAGGCATCTGACGATTACTGATGTTATCGAGATTGGTCGATAGTCCTCCGCGCTCAGAGGGGTATCACATTTTGGTATGAATACAATACGTGCAAGATTTAAGTGCGCAGGGACCTGTTCAAGGGCTAGTATAAGATTGAGAAACGCTGTTATGCGTTCAGTTTTGCGCTTATTTAACACCCGTGGGCTTATGCCATCGGGTCCGGGGGCAGACTTACCCATGTTTCGAAGAGCGGCGTATACCTCCAGTGTGGTAATCGGTTCAATGAGAGACCAGTTGCTGGGTAATCTGGACGTTACCGGACGGTCGTCAGTAACGCTTTCGCTCGAGATTATTGCTTTCCAATACGTGTCGAAGTCATTTGGCAGGGGGGACTTCCCTTTGTAAGCCGACTTCCATTGTCCAGAGAGGACGCTATGCGCCCCTCTCTTCATATTCGAGCTGATTGTTCCTTGTAACAGTCGCCGATTTATATGCTTGATCTGCGACGTACTGAGCTCCGCAGAATCCCTTGACGAGGGCCGTTCTTGTGGAGCTTTGATCGTGTACGGGAACGATCTTTGGGCGTAGCTACTTAAACGACAACGCCCTTGGTCTACCGTTATTACCTTCTTTTGCAATGCGTTTGCCAGTTTATATAATTCGTGCTTTTTGTCACCAGACGTAGTGATTGCGCACAGTAATTTCATACGCCAAGTGTTATCGATTGCGGTTTCATTCGTCGTGCTCGGTTGCACGTATCTATTTTGTTCATGCTCCCCGACGGTAGGAGGAGTCCATTTCAAGCCCAAAAGGCGTCTCTTTATCGCTTCACGAGACCGCCCTGGGAAACTTTCGCTCACTTTATCATATAGTGCACTTTTGGCCGTTCCATTACTATTTAGGAACGCCTCATTGGCTTTTATGCTTAGTATCTCATCTTCTTCTTTACTCCAACGGCAGTTACGTTTGCCAACAATCTTTGCTCTCTTGCTCTCATTGTACGCGATAACATGCTTTAATCTTTTATGTTGACCAAGCCCGATCGCTGATGTTGCTCGATACGGGCACCAGGGACATTCAAAACATTTAGGGACGGGGAGGGATCCAGCACTTGGAAAACCGTGGCTGGGCGAGGCACCAACGGTCTCCGTACCGGATATTCTGAAGCAACTCTCGTCGGCATCGCAACGTCCGTCGCTTCGTAAAACGCGCGATAAGCCAGGGTAATTCGCTTTGATAATACCACGTCGTCCATTACCCGGGGAGACGAGTGATATGGGCAGGTTCACTGAAATACCTGGCCGACCACCTTTTCCTGAGCCAGCGGGTATGTAGCATATTTTTCGTTTATTTGTAATTATCATGGTTTGTTTTGGGGGGGTGGGACAGTGTGCAAACCCTTTCACACATACTATCCCAATTTGCATGGAGGGTACCTAGCACAGCAGGGATCCCGAAGAATCCGGTCCGCCTATCCATTTCTGAACTGGTGAACTTTCAGCTAGGTTTTGTAGTTCCCCTACCGGTAATTACCAGTTGACGTGTTCCCATTCTCCCCTGAGGAGAGAGTGGGCGGAACAACACTTGGCAGACTCGACCATGAGGGCACAAGTACCCTTTCCGATCAAGAAGACACAGTCACGCCAAATTTTGCACCCTGTATTGACCAGTGGGGCGGATACAGTCCTGCCGCTGGTTAGGGTTTATGCGGTTTCCGGGCATTTTCACTGCAACTAACACGTTCCAGAAGACCGAACATCACTTTCTCCAGAGTATCTAATAAGTGCGCCCGTCTCCTTGCGGTTACGGTACTCAAGGCATGTATTAGCTCTAGACTCGACATTCAGTACTCCTCGAAGCATTTCGCTAGTTACATCCGTCAAATCCTTTAAGTTTCAGAGACCCAGCTGTCTACCCATATAGGAATAGAACACTACAAGTATGGTCCATGAGCATACATCTGTTACCAGGTGCACACAAACGGGCATAGATGCAGTTCCATGGTTCCGTTTGATATCCGGAGTACCACGATTGCCAGATCTTGAACCAGTGGGGCGGATACAGTCCTGCCTCTGGTTAGGTATTTGCTACTACAATATCGCCTGACTCATCGGGATAGCGAGCCAAGGTTTTAGAAAACAGGCCTAAAGACGTTCAGCCAGCTCTCAAGGTAACATTTAGCCGCAGTAGCAAATGGCCACCACGTTTCTAGCAGGAACCACGAAGAGGTAGTCACCCTGTAACCACAACTCACAAAAGGCCCAAATACGTTTGGTCGTCGAGGGGTTAATTAGATGACGAGGCATTTGGCTAATAACATATATTTTTAAGTATCAAATTGTACACGCCCAAATGGGTTTGGAACAAAATGAAATACTTAAGATGTACAAAAGATGTCTTCTCATTGAGATCGAAAACATGGATGTGAAGTAGATAAAGCGTTGTAGAGAGAGTATCAAGTGAAGAAAAAAAAGAATAAAAATAAAAACAAATAAATAATAATAAATACTATAGTTAACTATTACGGAGGATAAGTGATAATAATACTAATAATAAGAGTAGTAATAGAAATAAAGAAGCTAGAGTGTTAATAAATGGTGGATCAATAGAGCAGAAGATTTTCAGAAGCATGTTGGAGAACCGAATACCGGGGAATCAACCACTGTCGTGTGCCAGCACGAAGCCAGGTGCATGCCATTTGAAAAGCAGGCCTAAAGACGTTCAGCCAGCTCTCAAGGTAACATTTAGCCGTAGCAGCAGATTGCCGACACGTTACCAGCGGGAACCACGAAGAGGTAGCTACCCTGCAACTACAACCCCCATAAGGCAACTAAACGACCTCCCCGAAGGATGGTGAACTATGCTTGTGAAGGTTGAAGCCAGGACGATGGGGGTTTGTCTGATGCTGGAAACATTATGGCCGCTGGATGACAGGAAGCGTATAATCGAAGCCACAGTACGCTCATTGCCGTATTTTGAAATTTTTAACAAACGGCTCGCTTGAGTGTTACTGTCGTCCGATATAGTTACGTCCATGACATAGGCGATCCCATCCCGTATGATAATAAAGTCTGGCTTACAGTAGGTCGTTTCCATGGGTACGCACGGCTCTTCTAAGAATGTGATGCCTAGTCTGCGAAGCTTCTTTGCAACAAGTTTGCATAGGTCATTGTGTCTCTTACATCTGATGTCATGGGTACACGAGCAATGTTGCAGTATGTGTTGGATGGTTTCGTGGTGATTGCATCCTCCCCTACATCGCAGGTCATTCACTATCCTACCACCTCTAGATCTTCTTGTTTTGGTAGGCAGTAATCCACCACGCAATTTCACCGCATTGATGTATACACTAGGAAATATGGTTTGGGGGCAGCGTAACCATGTATGTGATTCCTTACTGTGTTGTGCTAGAACAAGACCCTTCCCATCGTTGGATAAGTACAGTTGTCTCGCCCAGCATTGAGATATCTCTTCTTTCGAAGTCACACTTTCTTGTCCAATACGGACCTGCATCTGGCCAAGATGAGAATATGAGGCTAGGGCCGGGGACGTGGGTAGTTTGTGTAGCAGTCGGTTGGGTGCTGATAATAAAGCTTCAAGTCGCTTACGGCGGTGGAGCGGAATTAATGAAGTCAAGTGTGGTATGCCAAGACCGCCTGCAGCAATGGGGGAGTGGAGATACGCCAGTGGGGTTGTAAGATCCAAACTACGTTTGGACTGCTGGACAGCTGTCTGGATGAGTTAGATACGCGCCCTCGCCCGATTGAAACCAAAACAAAGTAATTGGGTAAGATAGCGGTTCTATAATTTATCATAAATTTAAGTGTACATTATTACCTAAACAAATATAACCACTCAGCTATCCAACCAATAATTGTTCAATTGATCAAATCTAATTACAATAAATAAGAAAGTTGATAAAGGATGCAAGAAATTTACCAATCACAACAAATCAACGTTATTCTATCCTGGCTGGATAGATCACACACAACAGGAGGAACAAATCAATATGGCTACCGCCAAGAACAAGTGTCAAGTAAAACAACACAGATGCAGTTCAGGAAGAAACACAAACTTAGTGAATGCGTAAGAAAACAAAAACTATAATAAAAAATACAAGTATTAACAACTCAAATGTAATCAAAATACAACAATGTACAACTAAGGGAATCAATAGGAACAAAGTACAAGTATATACATGGAGGGATTTTCACAAACACACAAAACATTCAAAATGGATCTTACACCGGCCCCCAAAATCCCTCCATACCACACAAGCTACCTTGATGTCTACGGTCATGGTTCATTATATAACATATCGCACTACAGGAACGAGTAGGACTTACAACAGTACGCCTACTCGACCTACTTACATTGATACGCGAGGAATTAATTCGTGCCTTCCAGGAGGCATAATCTACGTATATCTCTTCTGACTAACCCACCGTTCGTACGAACAACCACTGTTCTAACTCTTCCGTCGTCATCTATTTTACAATCTTCAACTACTCCTAAGGGCCACTTTCCACGGGTCGATATGTCCGAAGCCACGATCACTACATCACCTTTCTGAAAATTGCGATGTTCAACTAACCATTTTTGACGCTTCTGTAAAGACGGTAAATACTCTCTTAACCACCTTTTCCAAAACACATTAGCAAGATGATTAACCTGTTTCCATCGTTTGTCATATTTATCTCTGATGCTACCTTCTTCGACTATTCCGTCACATTCTCTCAATAATAACAGACTGTTTGGCGACAAGGCTAGTTGATCGTTAGCATCTTGGACGACTGGAGTTAAGGGTCGATCGTTCAATATCCTTTCAACTTCAATCAAATAAGTGCTTAAGGTCTCATCAGTTAAAGTCTGTTCTCTAGTTATCAACAATAACAGTCTACGTATAGACCTAATCATCCTTTCCCAGACCCCACCCCTGTGGCTGGATGAGGGCGGGTTAAAATGCCACTGAATCTGTCTAGCTGACAGTTCCTTGTCTATCCTTTGCTGATTCAACTGTTGCACAAATCTCTTTAGTTCAGAGACCGCACCCACGAAATTCGACCCATTGTCACTGTAAATTTCTGCAGGTTTCCCTCTTCTTCCAATGAAACGTAGCAAGGCCATTATAAACGAATCAGTATTCAAACTATGTGTCATTTCAATATGTACTGCTCGGGTTTGCAAGCAAGTAAATACACACCCATATCTTTTTTCTAGTGATCTTCCTCTTTTGACAAAAAGGGGTCCAAAGTAGTCTACTCCCACGGCTGAGAAGCAATACCATCCTTGTTGCACTCTACAAGCTGGAAGTGGTGCCATCAATTGTTGCCCTGTAACCATCGTATACCGCCGGCATGTCACACACTTTCCTATCACTCTCTTAACCGTGCTGGTCCCTTTTATTATCCAATACCTTTTTCGAATCGTGGCCAGTACTTGTGACGTTCCTGTGTGCCCTTGTTCCTTATGATAATGTCTAATTATCATTTCTGTCACTAAGTGTCGACTGGGCAATATTATCGGATGTTTAAAGGCATTTGAGAAATCTGAGTAGCTTAGTCGGCCTCCAACACAGAGTAACCCATCAAGCATTATCGGTGATAAGCCCTTCAGATCATTGTGACTAACTACCTTACCATTGGTTTTAAATCCACTAAGTATTTCTCCATACACTTCTTTCTGAACCATCAACAAAATTTTACGCTTGGCGACGTCAAGTTCTTTGACCTTTAAACACCCTAGATGAACGGATCCTTCATGACTCGGTGAACGAAGCACCATCAGAAATTCTATGAACCTTCTAAGCCAGGCTACGGCCCTGACTAATTTCAACCACTCAGAATAATAAGCGAGAATAGGTGACATGTTGTACTTTATACTACTCAAGTTAACCACGGCAGTTTTTCTAAACTCAATATCGTCAGGAGTAGGTTCCGGACAGTCAGTGATTGCTGTACAAAATTCGCCATGCAGTAAGGTAGGACATTTGAACCAAAGCTCAAGATCTGACATTTTTTGTATACCTCTCGAGGTCCAATCAGCTGGATTCTGTGACGACCTTACATAACTCCATTGTTCAATCTTCGTATACTGATGCACAATGGCGAGACGGTTAGCTATATAGGTGCTATAGCGATTCTCGATATTCTTGATGTAGTACAATACTACCATGGAATCTGTATGGAAGTTTACCTTACAGAAAAAATTAGGCAGACTTCTCCGTAAGACTTCGCTAAGCCTCACACTTAACACTGCCGCTGCCATCTCTAGCCTCGGTATAGTGATCTGTTTGATAGGTGCTACCCTAGACTTGCTGTATAACAAAATACAGTAGGGTTGTTCCTTCAAATAACTGACTCGAGCGTACGCGACTGCTCCGTAACCGATCTCTGAAGCGTCACTGAACAGGTGCAATTCTACTTCCGCGTCGGGTTCGTCAATTCTCTTCTTGATACCCCTATCTACCGTAACATGACCTATTTGACGCATAAAGTTTACCCAATTTAGCCACGCCGACACGTATGGCTCGTTGAGAGGCTGATCCCAGCCTAATTGAGACTTACATAGTTTTTGCAAGAGAACCTTGGCAGTAAGACAGACTGGAGCAATTAAACCCAAAGGATCGAACAGAGAAGAAACTATAGATAGAATCCCTCTCCTAGTCAGAGGCCTTTCAGGCGCATCGAAGTAAAACTTGAATACATCTCGTTTAAAATCCCACTCTACTCCTAGAGTTCGATGTGTAGTGTCATAACTCGCTGACATTTCTATCAAGGACTCTTCTTTACATACATCGGGCAAGATGGTCCTTACCTCCTCCGAGTTAGTAACCCATTTCTTTAGTTTAAAACCTCCCCTACATAATAATTCACTTATCTGCTTAACGAAACTCTTTGCTTGATCACAAGTGGGAAAGGATACCAAGCAGTCATCAACATAGAAATTATTCTTAACAGCATCTACGACATAACCATCATAACCGTCAGAGAATATTTGTGCCGTCTTATTCAAGGCGAAGTTCGCGCAAAACGGCGATGATGTGGCACCAAATGGATGAGATGTCATTTGAAACTCGGATGGTTCCCTCGCCATGTCTCCCTCTTGCCACCACAGAAATCTTAAGGCTCCTCGATCAGACTCAGGGACCTTTACTTGCATGAACATTTCTTCCACATCCGCAGAGATTGCGACTGCTTCCTTGCGAAAACGCAATAGTATACACACTAACTCCGCAGTTGTGTCGGGACCCTGATAAATCATATCGTTTAAAGAAACGCCTGCAAACTTGGCGGCACAGTCAAATACCACTCTCAGTTTTTCCGGTTTTTTCGGGTTTAAAACTGCATGGTGAGGTAAATACCACCGGGGTCGATAACTAGGTTGCACTTGTATTTCAGGGACTTTCTCCGCGTAGCCCTTAATAAAATTACTTTCAATACCTTTTGTATACTTGATATACAGAATGTCATCTTTCAACAATCTACGCTTCAAACTCCGTAGTCTACTGTTTGCCACTTCATAATTCCCCCCTTTCATATCTGGGTTCCCCTTCCATGGTATAGGGACTACAAAATGACCATTTTCGAAGCGTGTGCCCCCTTCTACAATACTTATAGCCGCCTTATCTTCTATTGATACTGATTTATCATTTGAATAAACATCAGAGAACTCTACATCATAAAGTTTACGTATTTCGTTCTCCAAAGCCTGTATCTTACTGGTATGATTGACAACTCTTTTCCTGTATTCCGGATATGACGCAGGTCCGAAGACCGTCCACCCCAACAACGTCTTCACAGCGTACGGGCCTTTTCTTCCACCCAACCGCTGGTCTAACACCCAGTGTGCCTCTGGTACATCGCAACCAATCAACAGCAGAACTTCTTCAGAGTCTAGGTTGCCTATTGGTACATCCCTTAAATGTGGCCATTTAACTAGGTTGTTCATTGCTGATTTTGTTGGCTTATGACCTGGTATACTCGCTACAACCAGAGCTCCTTCAATAGTAACATGTTCAGATTGATCTAAAGAATATACCTCAAAAGGCGCACTCGTGACCTTCATTGTTCTATTACCGCCCACAGTCTCAACTACCACTGATGCTTCGTCTTCGCTCAGCCCGAGAGACCTCAAACAGTTTGATCTTATCAGTGTCACATCAGAACCGTTGTCCAACAGAGCATAACCCACAATCTCGGCTTTTCGCGATTTCAACCGTACGGGAATCATGCCTAAACACACTTGACTGATTAGTGATTTAGTATATCCGCAACAACTCGAGGTACCAGGTTTCTCACTCTCGCTGTGTAACAAAGAATGGTGTTTCCTTTCACAACCCTCAACGTTACAACGTTTTGCCAGCTTACATTCACTAACTTTATGCCCTTGCCTGAGGCAGACAAAACAGATGCCATTAACCTTCGCGTGAGACCATCTCTCTTGAACGGTAAGCGCTAAAAAATTTGGACATTTATAAATAGCATGGTCCAGGGAACACACACTGCATTTAGCTTTCTCTTTCGAATTATTCGCCTGCTCCAATTGCAAGTGACAATTTGTCTTTAAGTTGTGTCCCTTTCTCGGACGATTCGCTAACCGTCCAAACCTACTATTAGCTACCCTCGCGCGGGATGCTATAAATTGGGTAAGCTCATCAAAGGTTGGTTCTCTATTATCTTCAGTCAATTCATCTACCCAGTCCGCCCACTGGGCTTGCATAACTTGAGGTAAGAGTCCTACTATTCTCTCTAAGGTAATTAAAGAGTTTAAGTCGGCAGTATACTTCATCTGTTTCAAAACCATAGAACAATTTTCCATCCTAATAGCTAGATTTGTTAGTTGCTCAGGATCACTGTAATCAACATTTGTAGTTTTGAATAAGTCCTCTAAAGTCTCCCGAGCGATTACATGCGCCTGTCCGAACAACCGTTTTAGAATTTCTTTGGCCTTCTTGTAACCAAAAGAGGCTTCCAACATAACACAACCCTCAATGGCTGTTTTCGCTTTACCCTTACAATAATGTATCAAATAAAGCAAGCGTTGACCATCATCCTTGACCCTTGATTCCACATAGGTCTCAAACTCCCTTAAAAACTTCCAGTAACCTCTTGGTTGACCGTCGAAATAACTTAACTCAACCTTTGGTAACTCTGGACCTATGAAAAACGCTGTAGGCCTTACGCCTTTTGCTTGCTTCACGTCTAAATTAAGGTTTTCTATGCCATCTGCCATTATATCACAACTAGATTCACTATAATTACAATCGTCCCTATTAGAATATGAACCATGACACATAGAAGCATCAGAAGGCACTTGCCTTGATTGAGGGGATCCATCCTTTTGTTCATCTCTTTTAACATTCACGAGCCTTGGACTTAATTTCCTTCGACGATTGTTTGGCATCGGAAGCGAACGACCAGATATTCCCAGAGACGATGATTGGAATCAACGAAACGAAAGCCAAACGAATTCGACCAAATATTTGTTTAGAACTGTAAGATCCAAACTACGTTTGGACTGCTGGACAGCTGTCTGGATGAGTTAGATACGCGCCCTCGCCCGATTGAAACCAAAACAAAGGAATTGGGTAAGATAGCGGTTCTATAATTTATCATAAATTTAAGTGTACATTATTACCTAAACAAATATAACCACTCAGCTATCCAACCAATAATTGTTCAATTGATCAAATCTAATTACAATAAATAAGAAAGTTGATAAAGGATGCAAGAAATTTACCAATCACAACAAATCAACGTTATTCTATCCTGGCTGGATAGATCACACACAACAGGAGGAACAAATCAATATGGCTACCGCCAAGAACAAGTGTCAAGTAAAACAACACAGATGCAGTTCAGGAAGAAACACAAACTTAGTGAATGCGTAAGAAAACAAAAACTATAATAAAAAATACAAGTATTAACAACTCAAATGTAATCAAAATACAACAATGTACAACTAAGGGAATCAATAGGAACAAAGTACAAGTATATACATGGAGGGATTTTCACAAACACACAAAACATTCAAAATGGATCTTACAGGGGTGTCCGAAGGTAGTCTTAACCATTTTCTAATAGCGGCGTGTATCGTCCGGTCCATAGATTTCAGCGTATTCTTATGAACCACTCCGAGAGTCAGGGGATAGAGTAATCTAGGCAGTAGATTATCTCTTAATATTTTCATTCGCTGTTGCGGTTTAAGGGGGGCGCGTGTAATTTCTAGTAGGTAGTTGTTTAGTGATTCGATATGGTCAACGGGGCACCGACCTTTGAAATTGAACTGTATCCCTAGGTATGTAAAGGAGTCTGAAGCGGATAATGGTGGGATACGAGTTCCGGCGACTGTGAATTCTGTTTGTGCAAGAGCTGTAAGTTTGCTGTGGCCACCAGAAATCAGGTCTACCGTTCGGCTCTTATCAGTGTTTATTGACCATCCAGCCTCGTGCAGAAGTGAGGAGATGCGGTTCAGTTTTTGTTGCAACAGCGTTGCATTTGGAGCGAATATTACAAGGTCATCCGCATGTGCAATGTAGTTTAGAAACTCTCCGTCGATTTGCAGGTGGGTCGTAGGGTCTAGACCTTCCAGAACTTCATCAAGGACCATGATGAATAGTAGCGGGGAAAGTGGATCACCCTGTTTAACTCCACATGTCGGATGACACTCCGTGGTATTGAGACAGCTGGTGGCGTCACCGTAGTATTTGCTAAGGTATTTACATAATAGTTCGGGTGCGCCGTATCGTTTCGCTGCTCTAATAATGGAGTTGTGCGAGACTATGTCGAATGCTCGCGAGATATCCAGTAGGGCGAAGGAACCTCCTGTGTGGTGTGTGTGGACGTGCCGAATAACTGAGTGGAGAAGATTAACAGCTTCAAAGCAACCGTCGCGGTGCAGGAAGGCAAATTGGAGCCTTTCTTGGGGGAATAGTGGCACCCATCTTCTGGCTAGAATTTTGTGTAGACACCTTGTGATCGTTGGGGCGACACTCACTGGGCGGTAGTCTTCGGGGTGTGTGGGATTTAGTGACTTAGGGATGAACGTCACTCGTGAGGTTGACAAGTTCATGGGGAGACATGCTAGGGCAAGCAGCGTGTTCAGGTAGCCGGCCAGACCATTCTTTCCAAATCGTGACAAGTCGTAGGACGCCAATCGGTCTATTCCTGCGGCGGTACCATGCATTTCTTTTAGCGCCCATGCTACGTCGGAGGGAAGAATTGGTTCGATGAGGGATGGTGTGGTGTCGACTATTTGTATGATTTCCCGGTTATCCACAGTGCTGGGTTTAGTCATGACAGAGGTCCAGAAACTGTCGAAGTTGTGAATGTCGGATGGGCTAGCAACAGGGTGTTTCATCCATCGACCATCAAGAACAGTGTTGGCAGCATCTTTTGGACGGTGATGAAATAGTGTCTGGATACGTGCGTAAGCGATTTTCCTCATCTTCTTTCGAGAAATGTTTAATTGGGAGCGATAATGATACCTAGGTTTGGAGGGAACCCATGTTCTGGGGAAAACCGTATCTGCATGGCTGTTGACGGAGGCGGATACATCCTCAGCGCTCATATTCATGATGTCACGTTGTATGAAGGCAAGTAGGCTAGAGGATCTTATTCTCGTGCATTCATTTTGGAGGAGTTCTACTGCTGCTGTTAACAGTTTTTCCTGTTCGACTGATGAACACTGATAACTGTACATGTCTGGGTGTATCAATCGCGGAGGAGACATCTCAAATGAAGCGTCTAAGTCACAGGTGTAATTCTGTGGTATTCGCATTGGGTTCCTAATGAGGTCGGGAGCTGTATCTGCATGAGGAGGGTTTCGTAGTTGGGTCGGGGACGATAGAGGTGTTAAGACGACGCGAAGCTGCGGTAGTGGGGGCGGCGTCACATCTGGCGACGTTGTGGCGTCGAGTATCAGTTGGGCTTGGTTGAGGTCTATTAGTGAGTCGTTAACGGGAAGATGTGATTTGTGAGCTTCAGTGTTCAGTGTAGGTGTAGGCGACACCTGGGACGTGATAGGGTCGGTATTGAGCGTGCTGGGAGCGACCTGGTACGAAATGGCGTCTGGGGTTGGGGTAGACGGTTTCGTCCAGTGAAGGTGTAGGAGCCGTCTTTTAATGGCTTCAGCAGTCCTACGTGTCATTATTGTTGATATATGTTGGCACAGGTCATTTTTGGTGGGGAAATTTTTAGTCTCACGTTCAGCGATCGTCAGGAGCGAAGCATCATCAGACTGCGACCATATGCGTGACACGGGCTGAGACTTGATTCGTCGTTGGAGCATTTCATTGTATTCACAGATATGTCGATGGCGGATATGTTGTGATAAACCTCTGTTGGATGGAAGAACCGCTGCACAAAGCATACATAATAGTTTTTGCACATCACGTTGGGTAGAAAATGGACGGCAGACTATGTGGTGAGCTGCCACGACATGCGTAAGAAGAGTCTCGTGTGTGGAGAAGACACCGAAGCATATGAGGCAGGTGGAAGAAGAGTCGGAATATGAATGGTTGGACGAAGGATTGGAAGAAAAGGGATCAGGTAGTAGAGAGGTTGTGTCAGTTTCGGCGCGGGTTGAGACCGGCATCTTTTGATATTGCGTTGACACAACTGACAAGCCAGAGAGTTCGTTATTCAGAACGCGCTAGCAGTTGAGGACGAATTATTATTCGCGTCACGGACCGTTCATAGGCCCTCTCCGTGACTAATGATGCAGAGATGATGGTACTGTCAAAGTACAACTTGATCAACTAAACCAGCACAAACAAACAAACCCACACAACAGCAAAAATAAAAACAGAAGAAACACGAGAATAGACAATGATAATATATAAAAATTACCAAAATTTTGGAAGCAGTATAACATTCCAGATTGAAACTAGCTAAGAATTGAAATAGAGGCATATGCAGTAGGACGTTGCACAATAAAACGTGTATTACGTGAGAAGATAATTTGGGAAAAACTATTAAGAACTTGATTTAACGTAGGAATGAATTGGAAACAGACGCCGAAATTGTTATACAACAAAAGTTGAAGAAAGTGTGGTGGAGAGTCATAGTTACTCCCGCCGTTTACCCGCGCTTGGTTGAATTTCTTCACTTTGACATTCAGAGCACTGGGCAGAAATCACATTGCGTCAAAACCAATCAGTGGACATCGCAATGCTTTGTTTTAATTAGACAGTCGGATTCCCCTGGTCCGTGCCAGTTCTGAGTTAGCCGTCGCGCGCCAGACCATGGAAGTACAGCCGCTTGACGCAACGTGGAACAAGTCCTCGCGCGTTGCTAGCTGCACGACACTAACAGCTGAAACCGCCCACGATCGACCCGGGTCAGAGTCCAGTAACCTCACCACAACGCGCACCGAAGCACACAAAGCAGCAAAGAAACCAGCCCCCAACTGGACCGACACGTATCTGATCTCGGCCTGTCTGACTCGGCCCCCAGAGCCAATCCTTCTCCCGAAGTTACGGATCCAATTTGCCGACTTCCCTTACCTACATTGTTCAATTGCCAGAGGCTGTTCACCTTGGAGACCTGCTGCGGATATGGGTACGGCCTGCCACGAAAATTATACTGCCTCGCTCGGATTTTCAAGGGCCGACAGGAGCGTTCCGGACACCACAAGAAGGGTGGTGCTTTACGGAGGCTAGCCCCCTATCTCCGGACAAGCCGATTCCAGGGGGTGGATGCACTCCTAACAAAGAAAAGAGAACTCTTCCCAGAACTCCCGCCGACGTCTCCGAGGTCGGTTGCGTTACCGCGCTGGGCGCACGCCGAACCAAAGGCCCGACACACACCAATCTCCGTGGACAGGGTCGGGAATATTAACCCGATTCCCTTTCGCTACAGGGGGCTGCAATGCAACAGTACTTTGCAGATTACTGAACAAAGCCCGCGAACGGACAATGTCAGGCACCCCGTCTCTGTTCCGATTTACCGGATCACTTAGGACCGCCTGACCCATGGTCAACTGCTGTTCCCATGGAACCCTTCTCCACCTCGGCCTTCAAGGTTCTCACTTGAATATTTGCTACTACCACCAAGATCTGCGCCTGTGGTTGCTTCACCTAGGCTCACGCCTGAGGCTTCCCGCTAGCCACAGCGACCCTCCTACTCGTTGCCGTTACTCCATGCCTGGACCAAGTGCAGCTTGCCCTCACACAGCATAGGCCCAGCTTACAGCAACGGTCCGGTATAGGTCCAACGCTCGAGCGCCATCCATTTTCAGGGCTGGTTGATTCGGCAGGTGAGTTGTTACACACTCCTTAGCGGCTTCCGACTTCCATGGCCACCGTCCTGCTGTCTAGACCAACCAACACCTTTTGTGGTATCTCATGAGCGTCGTGTTAGGCACCTTAACCGAACGTTTGGTTCATCCCACAGCGCCAGTTCTGCTTACCAAAAATGGCCCACTTGGCACTCACATTCAATGCAAAACTCCAATTAAGCGAGTTAAGCTTCTCACCCATTTAAAGTTTGAGAATAGGTTGAGGATGATTTATCCCCAATGCCTCTAATCATTCGCTTTACCGGATAAAACTGTTTATTTCTCAGAATGCCAGCTATCCTGAGGGAAACTTCGGAGGGAACCAGCTACTAGATAGTTCGATTAGTCTTTCGCCCCTATACTCACGTTATACGATCGATTTGCACGTCAGAATCGCTACGGTCCTCCACCAGAGTTTCCTCTGGCTTCAACCTTCACAAGCATAGTTCACCATCTTTCGGGTCTCAACGTGTACGCTCTTGCTCCGCCCCGACGGTGCACATAACACGAGGTCACATGTCTACGTCATGGGACGGGCCGGTGATGCGCCCGCTGCTCGCAACTTGGAAAGTATGAGCAAGACAACAGGATCTCACCTCAGTCCGGACAAGCCGAACCTTTACCTTCACTTCGCCTTTGGGTTTCGTAACACCCAATGACTCGCGCACATGTTAAACTCCTTGGTCCGTGTTTCAAGACGGGTCAGGTGGATCGTCTACCACTACACCACAGACTATTGGCCCAAAGCAAATCACACACGCAACCGCCAACGTGACAAAATCAAGCCATCAGCCGACCAGCCGAAGCTAGTAACGAGCCGACCAGACTCAACAAAGCCCGAAGGTCTAGGCACGCATGCAAAGCCGCCATCTCCGACACACCGCACAGCTCCGCTACAGCCGGCTAGTAACACTCACAGCCCATAGATGAGCCAAAGAGTCACCTGCCGACCCAACCAAGACTGACGGAAATCAGACCTGATCAGTTTGGCCATAGCAGACAGGCAGCAGTGCCGGTCGTGGTGAACACTCTGAGAAAGTGCACTGACAAGCAGACCCTCACACCAACAGTGCGTGCGTCGTATGTAAACGATTCACACATACCCACCGAAAAGGCAGGCACCTGCGGTTAAACAGACACTAAAGGCGGCCAGTATGCCCAAGCACAAATCACACTCATCAGCTGAATTCCCAGAGCTTGCAGTTCAACTCCACCTGTTTACCTTTGAGCGGTTTCACGCACTGTTTACTCTCTCTTCAAAGTACTTTTCAACTTTCCCTCACGGTACTTGTTTGCTATCGGACTCGTGTAAGTATTTAGCCTTGGATGGAGTCTACCACCCACTTTGGGCTGCATTCACAAACAACCCGACTCCAAGGGTAGCTCAGAACAGAACTGTCACACTTGATCTCTACCCCCACGGGCCTTTCACCCTCTCTGGGCCAGAATGGGAAGCCGTACTCATTGCTGGACTTGGGGCAGAGCATTCGTTCTTGCTCCCCGACGGTAGGGGGAGTCTATTTCAAGCCCAAGAGGCGTCTCTTTATCGCTTCACGAGACCGCCCTGGGAAACTTTCACTTACCTTATCATATAATACGCTTTTCACTGTTCCATTACTATTTATAAAGGCCTCATTGGCTTTCATATTTAGTATTTCATCCTCCTCTTTACTCCACCGGCATTTTCGCTTGCCAACGATCTTTGCTCTCTTACTCTCATTGTACTCGAGAACATGCTTTAATCTTTTATGTTGACCAATCCCGATCGCTGATGTTGCTCGATACGGGCACCAGGGACATTCAAAACATTTAGGGACGGGGGGGATCCAGCACTTGGAAAACCGTGGCTGGGCGAAGCGCCAACGGTCTCCGTACCGGATATTCCGAAGCAACTCTCATCGGCACCGCAACGTCCGTCGCTTCGTAGAACGCGCGATAAGGCAGGGCAATTTGCGTTAATAATACCACGTCGTCCATTACCCCGGGAGACGAGTGATATGGGCAGGTTCACTGAAATACCTGGCTGACCACCTTTTCCTGAGCCAGCGGGTATGTAGCATATTTTTCGTTTATTTGTAATTATCATGGTTTGTTTGGGGGGGGGTGGGACAGTGTGCAAACCCTTTCTCACATACTATCCCAATTTGCAATAAGGGTACCTAGCACAGCAGGGATCCCGAAGAATCCGGTCCGCCTACCCATTTCTGAACTGGTGAACTTTCAGCTAGGTTTTGTAGTTCCCCTACCGGTAATTACCAGTTGACGTGTTCCCATTCTTCCATGAGGAGAGAGTGGGCGGAACAACACTTGGCCAACTCGACCATGAGGGCACAAGTACCCTTTCCGATCAAGAAGACCCAGTCACGCCATTAGTAGAGTGATTTGCTACTTTTTGGGGCATAGATGCAGCTACATGGTCCCGTCTGATATCCGGAATACCACGATCGCCAAATCTTGCACCATGTATTGACCAGTGGGGCGGATACAGTCCTGCCGCTGGTTAGGGTTTATGCGGTTTCCGGGCATTTTCACTGCAACTAACACGTTCCAGAAGACCGAACATCACTTTCTCCAGAGTATCTAATAAGTGCGCCCGTCTCCTTGCGGTTACGGTACTCAAGGCATGTATTAGCTCTAGACTCGACATTCAGTACTCCTCGAAGCATTTCGCTAGTTACATCCGTCAAATCCTTTAAGTTTCAGAGACCCAGCTGTCTACCCATATAGGAATAGAACACTACAAGTATGGTCCATAAGCATACATCTGTTACCAGGTGCACACAAACGGGCATAGATGCAGTTCCATGGTTCCGTTTGATATCCGGAGTACCACGATTGCCAGATCTTGAACCAGTGGGGCGGATACAGTCCTGCCTCTGGTTAGGTATTTGCTACTACAATATCGCCTGACTCATCGGGATAGCGAGCCAAGGTTTTAGAAAACAGGCCTAAAGACGTTCAGCCAGCTCTCAAGGTAACATTTAGCCGCAGTAGCAAATGGCCACCACGTTTCTAGCAGGAACCACGAAGAGGTAGTCACCCTGTAACCACAACTCACAAAAGGCCCAAATACGTTTGGTCGTCGAGGGGTTAATTAGATGACGAGGCATTTGGCTAATAACATATATTTTTAAGTATCAAATTGTACACGCCCAAATGGGTTTGGAACAAAATGAAATACTTAAGATGTACAAAAGATGTCTTCTCATTGAGATCGAAAACATGGATGTGAAGTAGATAAAGCGTTGTAGAGAGAGTATCAAGTGAAGAAAAAAAAGAATAAAAATAAAAACAAATAAATAATAATAAATACTATAGTTAACTATTACGGAGGATAAGTGATAATAATACTAATAATAAGAGTAGTAATAGAAATAAAGAAGCTAGAGTGTTAATAAATGGTGGATCAATAGAGCAGAAGATTTTCAGAAGCATGTTGGAGAACCGAATACCGGGGAATCAACCACTGTCGTGTGCCAGCACGAAGCCAGGTGCATGCCATTTGAAAAGCAGGCCTAAAGACGTTCAGCCAGCTCTCAAGGTAACATTTAGCCGTAGCAGCAGATTGCCGACACGTTACCAGCGGGAACCACGAAGAGGTAGCTACCCTGCAACTACAACCCCCATAAGGCAACTAAACGACCTCCCCGAAGGATGGTGAACTATGCTTGTGAAGGTTGAAGCCAGGACGATGGGGGTTTGTCTGATGCTGGAAACATTATGGCCGCTGGATGACAGGAAGCGTATAATCGAAGCCACAGTACGCTCATTGCCGTATTTTGAAATTTTTAACAAACGGCTCGCTTGAGTGTTACTGTCGTCCGATATAGTTACGTCCATGACATAGGCGATCCCATCCCGTATGATAATAAAGTCTGGCTTACAGTAGGTCGTTTCCATGGGTACGCACGGCTCTTCTAAGAATGTGATGCCTAGTCTGCGAAGCTTCTTTGCAACAAGTTTGCATAGGTCATTGTGTCTCTTACATCTGATGTCATGGGTACACGAGCAATGTTGCAGTATGTGTTGGATGGTTTCGTGGTGATTGCATCCTCCCCTACATCGCAGGTCATTCACTATCCTACCACCTCTAGATCTTCTTGTTTTGGTAGGCAGTAATCCACCACGCAATTTCACCGCATTGATGTATACACTAGGAAATATGGTTTGGGGGCAGCGTAACCATGTATGTGATTCCTTACTGTGTTGTGCTAGAACAAGACCCTTCCCATCGTTGGATAAGTACAGTTGTCTCGCCCAGCATTGAGATATCTCTTCTTTCGAAGTCACACTTTCTTGTCCAATACGGACCTGCATCTGGCCAAGATGAGAATATGAGGCTAGGGCCGGGGACGTGGGTAGTTTGTGTAGCAGTCGGTTGGGTGCTGATAATAAAGCTTCAAGTCGCTTACGGCGGTGGAGCGGAATTAATGAAGTCAAGTGTGGTATGCCAAGACCGCCTGCAGCAATGGGGGAGTGGAGATACGCCAGTGGGGTTGTAAGATCCAAACTACGTTTGGACTGCTGGACAGCTGTCTGGATGAGTTAGATACGCGCCCTCGCCCGATTGAAACCAAAACAAAGTAATTGGGTAAGATAGCGGTTCTATAATTTATCATAAATTTAAGTGTACATTATTACCTAAACAAATATAACCACTCAGCTATCCAACCAATAATTGTTCAATTGATCAAATCTAATTACAATAAATAAGAAAGTTGATAAAGGATGCAAGAAATTTACCAATCACAACAAATCAACGTTATTCTATCCTGGCTGGATAGATCACACACAACAGGAGGAACAAATCAATATGGCTACCGCCAAGAACAAGTGTCAAGTAAAACAACACAGATGCAGTTCAGGAAGAAACACAAACTTAGTGAATGCGTAAGAAAACAAAAACTATAATAAAAAATACAAGTATTAACAACTCAAATGTAATCAAAATACAACAATGTACAACTAAGGGAATCAATAGGAACAAAGTACAAGTATATACATGGAGGGATTTTCACAAACACACAAAACATTCAAAATGGATCTTACACCGGCCCCCAAAATCCCTCCATACCACACAAGCTACCTTGATGTCTACGGTCATGGTTCATTATATAACATATCGCACTACAGGAACGAGTAGGACTTACAACAGTACGCCTACTCGACCTACTTACATTGATACGCGAGGAATTAATTCGTGCCTTCCAGGAGGCATAATCTACGTATATCTCTTCTGACTAACCCACCGTTCGTACGAACAACCACTGTTCTAACTCTTCCGTCGTCATCTATTTTACAATCTTCAACTACTCCTAAGGGCCACTTTCCACGGGTCGATATGTCCGAAGCCACGATCACTACATCACCTTTCTGAAAATTGCGATGTTCAACTAACCATTTTTGACGCTTCTGTAAAGACGGTAAATACTCTCTTAACCACCTTTTCCAAAACACATTAGCAAGATGATTAACCTGTTTCCATCGTTTGTCATATTTATCTCTGATGCTACCTTCTTCGACTATTCCGTCACATTCTCTCAATAATAACGGACTGTTTGGCGACAAGGCTAGTTGATCGTTAGCATCTTGGACGACTGGAGTTAAGGGTCGATCGTTCAATATCCTTTCAACTTCAATCAAATAAATGCTTAAGGTCTCATCAGTTAAAGTCTGTTCTCTAGTTATCAACAATAACAGTCTACGTATAGACCTAATCATCCTTTCCCAGACCCCACCCCTGTGGCTGGATGAGGGCGGGTTAAAATGCCACTGAATCTGTCTAGCTGACAGTTCCTTGTCTATCCTTTGCTGATTCAACTGTTGCACAAATCTCTTTAGTTCAGAGACCGCACCCACGAAATTCGACCCATTGTCACTGTAAATTTCTGCAGGTTTCCCTCTTCTTCCAATGAAACGTAGCAAGGCCATTATAAACGAATCAGTATTCAAACTATGTGTCATTTCAATATGTACTGCTCGGGTTTGCAAGCAAGTAAATACACACCCATATCTTTTTTCTAGTGATCTTCCTCTTTTGACAAAAAGGGGTCCAAAGTAGTCTACTCCCGCGGCTGAGAAGCAATACCATCCTTGTTGCACTCTACAAGCTGGAAGTGGTGTCATCAATTGTTGCCCTGTAACCATCGTATACCGCCGGCATGTCACACACTTTCCTATCACTCTCTTAACCGTGCTGGTTCCTTTTATTATCCAATACCTTTTTCGAATCGTGGCCAGTACTTGTGACGTTCCTGTGTGCCCTTGTTCCTTATGATAATGTCTAATTATCATTTCTGTCACTAAGTGTCGACTGGGCAATATTATTGGATGTTTAAAGGCATTTGAGAAATCTGAGTAGCTTAGTCGGCCTCCAACACAGAGTAATCCATCAAGCATTATCGGTGATAAGCCCTTCAGATCATTGTGACTAACTACCTTACCATTGGTTTTAAATCCACTAAGTATTTCTCCATACACTTCTTTCTGAACCATCAACAAAATTTTACGCTTGGCGACGTCAAGTTCTTTGACCTTTAAACACCCTAGATGAACGGATCCTTCATGACTCGGTGAACGAAGCACCATCAGAAATTCTATGAACCTTCTAAGCCAGGCTACGGCCCTGACTAATTTCAACCACTCAGAATAATAAGCGAGAATAGGTGACATGTTGTACTTTATACTACTCAAGTTAACCACGGCAGTTTTTCTAAACTCAATATCGTCAGGAGTAGGTTCCGGACAGTCAGTGATTGCTGTACAAAATTCGCCATGCAGTAAGGTAGGACATTTGAACCAAAGCTCAAGATCTGACATTTTTTGTATACCTCTCGAGGTCCAATCAGCTGGATTCTGTGACGACCTTACATAACTCCATTGTTCAATCTTCGTATACTGATGCACAATGGCGAGACGGTTAGCTATATAGGTGCTATAGCGATTCTCGATATTCTTGATGTAGTACAATACTACCATGGAATCTGTATGGAAGTTTACCTTACAGAAAAAATTAGGCAGACTTCTCCGTAAGACTTCGCTAAGCCTCACACTTAACACTGCCGCTGCCATCTCTAGCCTCGGTATAGTGATCTGTTTGATAGGTGCTACCCTAGACTTGCTGTATAACAAAATACAGTAGGGTTGTTCCTTCAAATAACTGACTCGAGCGTACGCGACTGCTCCGTAACCGATCTCTGAAGCGTCACTGAACAGGTGCAATTCTACTTCCGCGTCGGGTTCGTCAATTCTCTTCTTGATACCCCTATCTACCGTAACATGACCTATTTGACGCATAAAGTTTACCCAATTTAGCCACGCCGACACGTATGGCTCGTTGAGAGGCTGATCCCAGCCTAATTGAGACTTACATAGTTTTTGCAAGAGAACCTTGGCAGTAAGACAGACTGGAGCAATTAAACCCAAAGGATCGAACAGAGAAGAAACTATAGATAGAATCCCTCTCCTAGTCAGAGGCCTTTCAGGCGCATCGAAGTAAAACTTGAATACATCTCGTTTAAAATCCCACTCTACTCCTAGAGTTCGATGTGTAGTGTCATAACTCGCTGACATTTCTATCAAGGACTCTTCTTTACATACATCGGGCAAGATGGTCCTTACCTCCTCCGAGTTAGTAACCCATTTCTTTAGTTTAAAACCTCCCCTACATAATAATTCACTTATCTGCTTAACGAAACTCTTTGCTTGATCACAAGTGGGAAAGGATACCAAGCAGTCATCAACATAGAAATTATTCTTAACAGCATCTACGACATAACCATCATAACCGTCAGAGAATATTTGTGCCGTCTTATTCAAGGCGAAGTTCGCGCAAAACGGCGATGATGTGGCACCAAATGGATGAGATGTCATTTGAAACTCGGATGGTTCCCTCGCCATGTCTCCCTCTTGCCACCACAGAAATCTTAAGGCTCCTCGATCAGACTCAGGGACCTTTACTTGCATGAACATTTCTTCCACATCCGCAGAGATTGCGACTGCTTCCTTGCGAAAACGCAATAGTATACACACTAACTCCGCAGTTGTGTCGGGACCCTGATAAATCATATCGTTTAGAGAAACGCCTGCAAACTTGGCGGCACAGTCAAATACCACTCTCAGTTTTTCCGGTTTTTTCGGGTTTAAAACTGTAGCTCTCAAATCATAAATGTGCGGCAAGGGTGACGATCGGGATCAATCGCCGATAACCCCAGTTGAATGGCATTCACTACTGTCCTTTCTAAAGACCATATGCATGGGTTATTTGATGGCCCAATTGGAGTAACCATCTTGAAACATCGACTTTGGCGGCTTGGACATGTTCTACGAATGTCGTCCTAGAGAATTCCTCGTCGTGCATTACTTGCCGACTCTGGAACTGGTTGGAGAAAGCGGAGAGGTGGTCAGTATATGACATGGTGTCGTGATATGAAAGAAAGCTGCAAAGGGGTGGTTTGTGTTGGCCCTTCACGACTCCTGGCTGGGGTTCGAGAGATAATGCTACACAGTGGCTAGAGACGTTACTAGATATGGCTCAGAATAGAAGCCAGTGGCGATTCTGCTGTAACCTTCTTTTACTTTCTTCATAAGAAATGGACGTAACGTCTTTAACTGAAGGAATTCTATCGGGTTGTTTTTGCTAACTGAGCTACCTCTTTCATTATCATTATTGCACTCTCATACACTAATTTCTGTTCTTTGTTGTTCTCCTTTTATTTATATGCATTTTACATTCTCTACTTCTTCACATCCTCATTGTTATTGTGTGGCACATATGTATTTGGTTCCCCTTTGAACCAATATTTATGTTTTGGAATAAGAAAATGTGAATCTGGAATTTTGTGGCTATAATTTAGCTGGTCCTATCCCAATTTACGTTGTGCCTCACAAAGTAATGTCAGACTTCAAAGATTCGTTTATATAAGCAATTTTTTCTATTCTCCCTCGCCTAGCTCCTAATTTTGCGACCACTAAGGTTTTGCGTAAAGTGTTTGAAGGCTGACATCCGCAACTCATGAACGTAGATTGGCCACTACTAATGTAAAGTAATGGATTTCTTCCCATCCGTATACCAGACATGTATCATGTCTGGGTACATACAATTAGATACAAATTTAGAGAAGGGTGGATAAATTTCAATAAATGGTAATCTGTACAAGACATTGTTTTTGTGTTTTCTCCACACTTATTTTGGGAGTTAGCTTGACTAGATTAAACTTTTTATCGATTGTCTAAATAACCTGGAGTCATTTTACCATTAGTCTTAATCTCAAAATACTACGACACTGAATCCAATGTTTCTTTTCGGATTTGTATCTTAACCTTACATTATGGGTGAAGTTAGAAGTGTTGTTAATTACCAATTAAGCTTTCGACACGTTAATTCATCTAGACACAGATGAAAGTCAATGGTTTGTCAAACAGTGAGTTCCTCGTCTCTCCTGTCAGATAATGGTGATTGTCTTCTGGAACTTTATGCAAATATTAGATTTTGCCTGGGAACAATTTTTTGCATACTAACCGCTCATATTCTACCTGACGTTCTTCCTTGACTTCAGGCTTGCACACAAGTAGGCCTATACTATGGTACTCAAGGTTGGCATTAATGTATACATAAAGCAAGATGTTTGCATAATTTTTCTTTACTCTGTCAGTGATATTCCTTGTAAAGGATTTGTACAGTAGAAGTGTGTCAATTTATTATCAATTGGTCTGTGTCATCCATAATGTTTTTAGTTTGAATTCTAGTTTATTCATGTTTAAAAATAAATTAGTGATTATATCTGGAAGTAACATGTTTTGTGTTTTCGGACGACAAATGAATGTTCTGCATAAAACCCATTGATTTTATTATGTTTGATGTTTCCTTTTTCCAGCAAGTTTCCTTATGTTTCTTCCTTACCGTAAATATAATCCACTTACCAAGTGCTGGAAGTACCATTCAGTTACCTTGAACATAGTACTAGACAGAGGTTTGACCTCCTGATCCATTTGTTTAAAGTCTAGTACTAAAATCAATAACCTAACACTTTACTTCAATGGTTGTTCAGAAGTCTTTTACACTATGTCTTCTGTTCATAAGAAATAAATACGTGTCACTTCCAATTACTTATTTGCGATTCCATAAGCCGCCTATCCATCTTACTTTTCTACAACCTTGGGTTCAGTTTTGTGATTTTTCGTGCCTTAAAGTAACCCTCGTGCTATTGATAGAAGAAATCAGACAAGTAGTGAATAGGTCTTTATTTCGATCTTAGCGCAGTCACAGTGGAGCGTGGGATTATCTGTTCAGACAAACAAAGGCTCTCAACATTCAATATAAGATAATAGGAAATATAACGCTTATACAAAACAAGGAAGTGAATGAATACTTGAACAATACTGTTTTGGCATATACTTGGTTGTTTGGGGTCAACTCTTAACCAACCAACCTAAGCTGTTACATTAGCTTCCCCCTAGAATCGACTTCCGTAGGAACGTCGGTTTGATTAACCTAACTATCGAAAACACCTTAGTTCTATTTCTCATCCCAAGGGAAAATTATCAACTCCATCACTGTTTGACTTGCAATCAGTGACGACTGACGCTGTCAACGATAGTCCCTGGATGTCTCTTCTTTACTAGCTTGTCATCTTATTTTGTAGCATGTGATTTCTTCTACAACTATCGCCGACGGTTTGCTGCGTGCTTTCAAGAGAAAGTGTGAGAATATGGAATAAGAATATCTGAGTAAGTGCCGCGAGCGGGCTACTCAACACCATGTTGGTGAGGTACGATTTTTCCGTGCTCAGACCGGCTATCAGGTGTTTACTCACCTGCCTCTTGAGTCGCCCTCAAGTAAAAAGCAAAGAAGAATCTACTTCGAAGGTAATCGTGAAAATCAAGCAAACCTGAAGAACTGCTCCACTGCCTGCATAAAATAATAAGATACAAAATGGAAATACATAAATGTAATTGATAATTGTTCGGTTCCATGTAAGTGCTTGGTCTCCAGAACGGACTGGTATTCTGGAAGAGAATAGACATAGTGTAGATATCTTGTGCACGAAAAACCATGAAAACAAAAAATACTCTTTTGTAATGCATATATGTAAAAGGTTGCACTTGCTAGAAGTTGGACTATTTAACAAAATCGATCAAACGCGTGACCTTGAGCCTGTGATGACCGCGTTTTACTCATTAGTATTATGAGTGATTAATTGGTGTAAGGAAATATTGAAGTCACTTCCTCCGTGGTCTGATGTGGCTTAACGGCTAAGCACGCGGTCTAGCATTCAGGAGGGCAGAGGTTCGAGTGCGTGTGGGGCCTGCGTTTTTGTTCACCAGACCCACCTTCAATACGATGTTTGTTGCCCGTAAGTCGCGCACATATGAGAGAAAAATGGACAAGAGGACAGATTGATATATCAAAGTGCCATATTGGAAAAGTATAAGTTCTTTGTTTACATGAATATTATTACTATAGAAAAAAAAACAAGTTTAGTAAATTTCCATTTTATATATGTATATATATATATCAGTTATTGACATAAAATGTCTTTTTTATAACGCTAATGTTAAGTTCCAGGACTTTGTATGGGCCACTAATAATAATTGGTTTAACGTTAGCATAGTCGTGATATTCATATTGTCAGTTCAATGTTATGATTACTAAACAGTTCCCTTATAAGTTGTGTTTAGAATTAGGTATGTGGAATCAATGCGGCTAACATAGTAACCTTACAGTAACGCACTGTACTATATCTTCACGGTTATTGATTCTTAAATGTCAGAAATTTAAAAAAATCTGAATATTGCCAATAAAGATGGGTTATATGATCACACTAAAAAGCATGCTAAAGGGAAACTGGTTAAGTCATTGCATAAGTTTCCTAAATAGGAAAAAAAATGATGAGAACTTTAATAAGTACTTGACCATGGTTTAATCCAAAATGTTTTGTCTAGAAAACTACTTATTAATAGTAGTATTAATCGTATCAAGCTACTAAACATATCCTCAACCGAAAACTTTTAGAAGTAGTTCATATGGTATATATGTATAGCCAGTCTACGTGAAAAATGTATATAAATATATAAGAAGTACAGCCAACATAGTTAATTAACCAGAAAAAGAAATTATAAAACTCGCCTGGGTTGCTTTTTGAATTCGTTGTATTTGCCAGTGTTAGTTGTATGAGTTTGATTAAAATCCTCAGCCATCGTTTCGGAATACCTAGCTTATGTGTCCAGTATTTTAAAAAAATATTTAACATAACACTTATATATCAAAGGTAAAAGGTCTGGGGAGTTGTCGGTGAGGCGGAATGAGGAAAAAAATTATTTTTAAGTAGATGCAGGGTGTGATTAGCTACGTGGTTAGATTTTATCCTGCAGCCGAAACTGTCAACATCCTTGACTGACTAATTGGATGTGCCCAGCGAACCGTTTTAGTCATTTGTAAAGATTTATCATCTTTACATTTCGATTCCGTAATGGATTTGTCAGTTAAACGATCTAACAACACGTATGGTGGTTCATGATCTAGATAAGCCGGCTTTAGCCTATCAATACTTACTGTGTCGATGTTTCCATGTTTTTCTATCACGAAATATTTAGATTTTCTTGAGACGACTTTGAAAGGACCTTCAAATGGAGGACTGAGTGGTGCTTTTATTTTGTCACATCTTATCCAGACGTGCGTGCAATTGCTTAGGTCTTTAGGTATATATACGGCGCGCGATTGTTCACGAGTATTAATCGGCTTAATTTTAGACATGTGGTCCCGTAGTTGATCTACATAATTTTCTAAATTAAGTTTTTGACTGTTAGTATTAGGGTTAATAAATTCACCTGGTAGTCTCAGAGTTGTTCCGAAAACCAGTTCCGCAGCTGAACACTGTGCGTCAGTTTTGACAGATGTTCGTATTCCCAACATAACTAACGGTAGGAATTCTGTCCACTGATTGGGGTTTGAGTGAGATATAAGGGCGGTTTTTAGCTGACGGTGAAAACGTTCTACCATCCCATTAGCCTGAGGATGATATGCAGTGCAGCGTATCCTATTGGAGCCTAGAAGTTTAGCCAAGTTATTAAATAGTTCGGATTCGAATTGCGCTCCTCTATCCGTCGTTATTGTTATGGGTGTACCAAAAATGGTTACCCAGTTCTGCAT